GTATGGCTCAGGAGTGAAGGGCTCCAGTATCTTGGGGCCAGGGCTCCAGGCACCACCCCCTGGGAGCTGGGCGAGGCCAAAGGCAGGAGACGCCACCAGCCCTTCCCCCAGATCTGGCCTTTCTGCCCCGGTGAGCAATTCACCTCCCCCTCGCAGCCCCAGCCCAGACACAGCAGAGCCCAGGAGCCAGCAGGGGCCTTGGCCGTTCCCCATTTGAAGGGGCCCAGACTCCGTGGTGATGCTATGGAACCCGGCACAGCTGGCACAGGGCAGCAACAGGGGCACTGCCTGCCTGGCACAGCCCAGGCCTCCCATCCCTCCGCTCCTGGCCCCAACCTGAGCCAGGCCCAGCTAGTTTAGGGGAAGGTGCAAGAAACCTTCCTGCTCCTCTCTCTGCTCCGCTCTTCAGAGCAGGAACAGTTTCCCCGGCCAGTCGCTCAAAAGAAACCCAACCCCCACCCAGCTGATAAGCAGAGTGCCCACTGCTAGGCGTGGTGCACATCCGCACAGGCCTTGGCGCGCATCACATTTATTCCACACAAGGATGGGAAAAAAAAATCTGCAAGCAGATGGGAAAGATGAGAAGGGAGCATTGAGCGGGGGGAGGGGCTGACTCCCCTGCCGCCCCATCACAGTCACATCCCGTCTTCCCGTTATCCCTATAAACACCCAGTTCTTTTCCCGCCGCTTGTGACAGGGGCCCCCATGCCGGTTGTGCACTGTGTGTGGAGTCTAGGAAATAGCCCACAAGGAGTTCCCGTCTCTGGTGGTGGGGGCAGCATACGAGAAGTGGGGATGAGACGCTGGACACGGGGGAGGCGCACAGGGCCCGTGGGGCCTGTATCGGAAACACAAAAACACAATTTTGCAGCCCCCGGAAGAGTCGACAATAGTTTATTAGTGCCATAGGCTAGTCAGGAGCAGACTCCAACACTAAGAATAGGCAGTTGAAATAATTCAGTTTCCACATACAAGGTTTTCTGGTTTTTTTTTTTTTTGGTTAAAGAAAAATCGTCCGAAAGTTTTGCCATGGCTGTTTTCCAAATGGTATTTCCCCCCTTGCTACAAAAGACGTGATCGAAAGCCTGCGGGTCCCACCTCCCCTCAAGGCTTTCCCCGCGTCTCTTGAAATGCACGTGCGTTGCCAAAAGACGAGAACGGGCCCCCATGGGCCGGGGCTTTGGCAAGAGAATTTTTCTTTTTTCTTTTCTTTTTTTTAAAAAAGGAATCTTGTTGGTTGTCAGGAACGACTCGGCAGGAGCCGGCTGGCTGGGCAAGGCTGAGCCAGGCCAGCGCAGAGCTCTCGGAGCCGGGGCTCTCCCCCAGGCCTTCCCCCGCGGGCGTGCAGCCTGGCGAAGCAGGTGGTGGCGGAGTTACTCACAGGGAAGGCCGCGTGCAGGGCTAGCAGCAGTGCTGAGCGAAGCACACACTCCCACGCTAGCCGCCTCTGCCGAGTGCAGCACGGAAAGAGGGTGACGACTCCCCTGCCTGCGCCCAGGGCACTGAGGTTTCAGCGGCTGGTGCAAGGCCCCGCAGGGGCTCACGCTGCCACAGCCCAAGGGGAGCGCACTGCGCAAAGCTGGAAGGGCCGGCCATCTCCCTGCCAAGGGACAAGTGTGGCGCCTCCAGGTCTGGGCTTGTGGGGCGCTGGCCATCGGCCCGGCTCAGGGGCTCAGCGCGGCTCCCCTCCTGCGGCTAAGGGCACAAGGGACACGTGGACGTGGCGGAGGGGGAGGGGACCCGGCTCCTGTAACCAGGCTCAGCACCTCCTGCCTCCAGCCAGTAGATTGGGGGCTGCGGCAAGTCCCCTAGAGAGCAGAGCGAGGAACATCACAACTTCCCTGCCCTCCCGCCACACTCCCTGGTTGCCCCACAGCGTGTGACCGTTTCCCCCACGGCCGTCCACACAGTGCACGGCTCAGTCCTGGGCTCCCACACCCGCAGAGCCCAGAGCCAGCCCCCTCCCGCACCAGGGGATCTGTCTGACCCTTCCCTTGGACCTCAGCGAGCTGCTGGGCCCAGACCTGGCCCTCCCACAGAGACACGCGAAATCCAGAGATTTGTGTTAAAAAAATATTCTGTGCTTTATTTACTCAGCCGTAGAACACAGTGCACGGCTCAGTCCTGGGCTCCCACACCCGCAGAGCCCAGAGCCAGCCCCCTCCCGCACCAGGGGATCTGTCTGACCCTTCCCTTGGACCTCAGCGAGCTGCTGGGCCCAGACCTGGCCCTCCCACAGAGACACGCGAAATCCAGAGATTTGTGTTAAAAAAATATTCTGTGCTTTATTTACTCAGCCGTAGAAAAATAACGTTGAACGGGAGGGAGGGCGCCCAGGGCGGGGCCGGCAGCACCTCCCCCCATCCTGAGCCACGCCCTGCCCTGACCCCAGCGGGGAGCCCCTTTCGTCCTGCACACAGAGCAGCCGTGTCCGTCTGGAGCCCCCTCCGTCCTCTCACCACTTATCAAACCTCCCAGTGCTGGGCCAGGCAGCATCCCACCAGCTGAGCAGAGAACGGGCCAGACAGGAGCCAAGAGGAAAAGGCCCCAGGGCCCTGGGGGGGGACGCCTTCCCAGAAAGCCGCTCCCAAGGCGCAGATGCTGCCGCCTGGGCTGAGAAAAGAGGCTCTTGGCCCCCCAGGCAGTGGAATCCCCCGGTCTCTGTGCACACAAACAGGACCCGACGCGCACACGTGCCCCCCAGGACGGGGAGCGGGTAACAAAAGCGTTTCAACACACAAGTCCCAGAGGGGACGATTACTGCAAACTAAGTCCAGAAAGCCGCTCCCAAGGCGCAGATGCTGCCGCCTGGGCTGAGAAAAGAGGCTCTTGGCCCCCCAGGCAGTGGAATCCCCCGGTCTCTGTGCACACAAACAGGACCCGACGCGCACACGTGCCCCCCAGGACGGGGAGCGGGTAACAAAAGCGTTTCAACACACAAGTCCCAGAGGGGACGATTACTGCAAACTAAGTACCGCGAAGGAGCAGCGCTGCAGAAGCAGAAAGCGAAAGGCGGGCTTCTTAAAGGGACAGACAGGAAACCATATGACAAGCCCACTGCCTTTAGTACAAGGGGTAACACCGACGAGCCAAGCGCAGCCGGACACAGCTGCTGGCACGGAGCAAAGCCCCCGGACGAGCACCGCGCTCCCCGCACACAGACACTAACACGGGCTGCTCTCCGCAGGGCACACGCCCGGCTCGTCTCCGAGGGACGCGGCGGCCGGGCCGGGCCCCGCCCCCAGCGCGCGGGCACGA